AAGAATCTTTTTTCCTGAAACTTTCAGAGTCTCTTTCCACAGAGGGGACACATGTTGATGTAGAAGAGACATGAAGAAGAGGGGACACATGTTGATGTAGAAAAGACATGCAGAAGTGGATTTTTGTATAATAGGTGACCTTTAAGGTTTAATTAAGCCTCCATCATTGTCTGTTATAGTCACACCTGATTGGTTGTGAGTAAATGCGGCATGTAGCCCTTGTCATGATTTACTCAAGTACTGTACTTATTTCAATGTTATGCTACTCTATATTTTACTCGACTACATGCCATAGACAAATATAGTTTTTTGACGACACTACACTAGTCTGACGGCTGTTACTTTTCAGATAACAGTTTAATGATACGTTTAGCTAAAGTGAAAACCATCAATCTTCATACACAGGGCTATTTTTCTGAAAATCTCTTGAAAAGTTGTCTTTTTTTAGATACTTGAGTCCAACAAAAAAGCGGTGCTACAAACATAAAATGAACGTATCGGATGTGATGAATTGCTGTAGATTAAATGTACCAACACTACAAGAGTTACAATTAGGCAAAACCTTAAATATCTATAGCAGTAAAACGCAGCTAATTAATATTATTCCAAAAACATAACTAGGAGGAACCATTTTACTTCACACTCACTACTTAAACCTTTGTTACTTTAACTATAAGTGTTTGAGTTCAGTACTTTTACGTGTAGTGAAGTTTTTTCCCACTATGGTACTAGTACTTTCACCTAAGTAAAGGATACATAGGGACACTACAATCAGCCCACCAGGGCCATACACCTTCCTTATGTTCAGTGCATGTGTCTCGTCCTTAAACTTTGAGAAACACACAAGAGGAATCTGAAGAGCTGATGTTATATGTGTTCAGGATCAATGCAGAACATTCACTGAGAAACGTAACTTTCATCGAGTAAATCAAAGATCTGCATCGTTTTGAAAACCCCGGGGACCTATCACGTATTTGCGACGTTGCCACCTCAGAGTGTGTGTTGTGATTATTGTCAGGCTTATATAATGTGGGAACAAGCAGATCAAATGCACCAACTTCCTATGTTACATTCGATTAGCTGAATGTTTCTATTTGCCTCATGTAAGCTTCACAATACCTGTCCTTTGTACCTCAGATTTAATTCCTCCTTAACTTAAGTGCTTTCTCCTCCAAACCCTTACATTTTTTATACATATATTTGTGATGCTATAGCTGAAGGTGACAGACTACCATGTGGGGTGTACAGTGGTGTCCAGATACGCTGTGACCACAGTGCAGAGCTCAGTGTGGAACCAGCTGCCCGTCACCAAGGAGGCGGCCTTCGAGGTGGACCTGCCCTCCTCTGCCTTCATCTCCAACTTCACCATGTAAGTCACTGTTTCTCTGTTCTATCCCTACTTCCTGTGTTTGTTTATGTATTTGATTGTCTCTCTTTTAATTTCCTTTATTTCTAATCTCTATGAAAGTCAGGAAGTGCTTCCAGTTATCGTCACATTTACTGTGTTTTTGATGATAATTCCTCACAACATATAGGGACTGTTTTCAATATTAAAGATTTTTAATATTACAATTATTATGCTTTCGGGGGGTTTTCCCATTCCTGTAGTGTGTTTATATGTATATGTTTTATGCATTATATAGGTTTTTGTTCATGTAAATGGTCTCCAAAGGCTGAAATCCCAAAGCTCCCTCGAGAAGGAGTTCTCTGCCAAACCCTCCTGCCTGAAATGCCTCCATTAGACTCCTTTGTTTACTACAGTCAGACAGAAGTGACATCACACCATAACAGTTGCGCTTATATTGGCTGATAGGGGCAGGAAATCTCTAAGCGAGTGACATTACATTGCATTTAGCTGGTTTAGCAGGTTTCATAGAGCCAACACATTTCAAGTGCTACTCAACTGACTTTAGATAAGCCAGTCCTTTATTAGTATCAGAGCTCTCAAGTCTCCCGCATTTGGCGTGAGACACACGCATTTCACTCCATTCACACGCTCACACGCCACACCTTGTATTTCTCACGCAGAGATTTCTTTCCAGGGTAACCGCCCAGCAAGTTGCGCCGCAATTTTGTAAA